TCACTTTAGGATCAAGGGTGGGGGTATATACATCGTATCACTGGGATCGATGATACTCCGCCTCACCCCAAAAGTGTGGCTTGCCGAGTCATACAGATGGAAGACTCTGAGGGACCGCCTGGAGTACCGGCTGTATCCGACGCGAGCGAACTGCATCTCCTTTCACTTTAAATATGTGAGAGGGAGCGTGTTCGACTGTGCGTCTCATGACAGGATCGGTTCCCTCTGGGGACGCCAGTGGGTCGGTAAGAAAGGAGTCAAAACCCACAGCAGGAACCCGACACAAAGAAAAATTCGTTACAGTTGTATTGTTACCGCGTGACGAACCCTAGCTGGCTGAAAGTAGGGGGGGTTAACGTGTGCCCTGCCCTGAAAGCCCTGCCCCGAGATCGGAGACTTGGCTGCCAGCACCCTGTTGGCATTCAGTGCTCGAGGATCCAGAGAAGGACCGGTGCAATTAGCCTGAGCCTCGGCCACCCCCCAAAATAGTGGGAGAGCCGTGCCTGGGAACGGGGGTTCCCCGGAAGAGACGTGTTTGAATGCAAACATGCTTTCCTGTCTCTTCCTGCTTGCCCACCGAGGGGACACAGTGGAAACAGCTCGCTCCGACTGCGTCTGATCTACCCGGCCTGCCAGGGACGCAATGTCCCCGACAGTCCTTCGACCAAAGCCCTCAACTCTGAGGTAAACCCAGCGCCGTGCGAGGAAGGGTCCACAAAGAGACCCGCAACGGGCCCCATAGGAGGAAAGCCTCCAGGGGCACAGCCTCGCTGCAGCCGGTAAAATCGGGTAAACCATTGCCTGAAAAAACAGACTGTGAGGATGCCCTTCGATCAGTGGGGGAGACCGAAAAAAATATCAGTACCTCCGCCGTCTGGCCAGTTACTCGACGTCCCGGTACATGAAGTACCGGTAGCCGAGCGTGAGGACTTTCCACTCATGCAAAACACGCAACTCACTTTAACCGATTTGTTAACTGGACGCGCGACCTTGCTGTGACGTGGTCAGTCTCAGCGATTTTGATGGCTCTGAAAGAAAATCTCAGGCCTCAGAACTCCAGTGAAAAAAACACGCTTCCACGTAAAAACCCTGAGAATGATGTCACCAAGGTAAGGATACTCACTCAAAGAAGTTGAGTCGGCCATCTTGTTTATTGGTTTCCCAGACATATTCCATACCACCGGCTTTGATCACTCCTAGGACAATGACGGTAATGAAGGAACCAACTATGACAAAAAACTGGAAAACATCCGTCCAAATAACTGCCCTCATACCACCCTAAAAATAAAAACAATTAAACATGGTCAGAACCACAGATGCAAGACAAACTTGAATTCTCTACAGGAAAAATTGTGATACTAAAAAATGACAATAACCAAAAGGGTTTTATACTTACACTAATTTTTACCATGAATTTGCTCACCTACCAAATACTCCAACCTATTTGCATGCATGCATGCATGCATTGTTGTAATCCTTTTGTTTTTCCATTCTTTTTCATAATTGAGTAATCGCAACATTTATTTTTTTATTTTCTACCCCATCCAAGTTTCTAATGGATTATCCCCTTTTCTATCATTTTACTTTTTAGAATAATTTCTATGAAAATTATTTTTCCCAATAAAAGCTCTGAGAGGTAATTCAGGAAATAAGATTAATTAATTTCACACAGAGCACTAGCCAATGCAAGCAGGTGGTCAATTAATATCATCTTCATGTTCCAGTATAAATTAACTTGGTTCAACGAAAAATTGACACCAAAGCTATAATTATCAACTGAATTGTAGTTAAATCAGTCAAATTAATCTGACAAAACATTTCAGATGATGTGTGTGCCAAATAGAACACTAAACTGTTGCAGCTTTATGTGTTGTGGATCTCTGCTTTGCTGAGTGATAGCAATGAACCCATTTCTAGAGTTTTACGAGATATTCATAACTCCAGGTAATTCAGTTTTAAAGCAGCACTTACTATTGTTGTATAGAATGTACAAATCAATCCTGTTATAAGTACTGTCTTCCAAACAGCAAACTGAATCACTGTTGAAACAAATATAATAAAAGAATTCAGGATCTCATTGTAAATAAACAGACCACTGTGAAATCATCTACAAGGGCACATTTGTGGAATTGAAACACTTTTCAAATGAATTAAATAACATAGTTAATGGAATTTTATATAAAAATGATATGGGATAGATTATGAAGACAGAAGTCATTCCAAAGTTTCTAAACAATTTTTGCATGTGACTATAAATTAAATTTCAACAAGGTTAGAATGCATGATGTGAGGGCTGTGACATTGCAATGCTCTGCAAACCAAACCTGGTAATGAGTTATGTAATATATGCATAAACAAATAATTAGCACTAACCTGCTTCAATGGCTAAGGCGGGTCCTATCAATGTCACGGCCATGTAGAATGCAGTTTGAATTATGAATAGTATTGATGATATAATACGTAGACTAAAATGAAACCGAAGACTCATGTACTGGGAAAAAGATAACAGAAATTTCTAATTCATTTTTAATCTATTTACAACAAAAAGTATACACTTTGCTTCAAACAAATTACAAATAAATATAAATTTTCAAGGAACGAGAATCAAAGATGTCATGAAATATGCACAAAGTTTTGGCACTGGTTGCTATAGTTACAATATTTCTATATACATGTATAATCTAAATAATGCAAAATTAAATTTGGCTTAAACTGCCACAAGGTCATGAAATGAACCACTATATAAGGAATATGAATCACCATATAAGAAATATGGATAAAAGTATTTTATGTACAAGATCATGCAAATGGTACCTCATAAGCACTGGTGAGTTTGAGTCCATGGAAAACCGGAACCAGTATCAGAGCGACCACCGGAAAGACCCATAGAATGCACAGAACGTAAATAGAATACTGTGCTCCATTGACAAACGTTTCAGCTGGCATTCCCAGAATTGTAATTGGAGAGAGAAATGACACGACTAAAGACATAGCAATTGGGACACCACTCATTTCACGGTCGGCTAGCAAAAACCTACATCATAAAATAAAATAAATGCATTAAACAAAAATAGTACAAAATAGTTCATTTATTCTTAGCCATTGTTATTAGCCAATAATAAATGATATACATCATAAGACATAGTCATGTGATCATATCACGTGATATACATTGCAGCAATATGATTGGTTTACATATGTAGTTTGACCTTTGAGCACACTATTTGCCAAACATTAAAAAAATATTTTGATGAAAACAATTTTTAGTCATATTATAATAAATTCTTCTTTAATTCTTGTAGAATGAATTGACAGTAAAATTGCATTTATGTGAAACACTGTTAAAACACAGCGTAAAATATAACAAAGTATATAAATAGTACCGGTATCTCAAATTGGTATTTCAAATTTTACATAAAACTAGTGTTCCAGTTTATAATAAACCTTGGCCTTCTATTAAAGGAGATGCGAGTATAAAATTATAAGATTAGAGGGCGGTAGTCGTCACGCCAAAGATGGCGACTTTGACCGTTGCGCAGATCAACAAGTACAACTGAGACGTTTCCAAGCTTTAATTAGGTGATTTTTAGGTGATTGGAAGGTATCGAAGGAGTCACCGGCGGTATTCAGTGCAAGTCGTGCCCAGATCATCCCTCATACTTGTGATTTTCATTTGAAGAGCGCATTGGATTATGGGAAAATAAATGTTTATCAACACAAATGTTGCACGTGCTCAGTGTGACGATCACCGTGCTTTAAGAAGTTCTTACTATTATACTCAGGTTTTACATTGCTTTCAAAATTGGGCAGGGAAGTCTAATTTTCCTCAACAATGATAATTTGATGTTTATCTTGTCTTTCATTTATATACTATCTATTGATGGAATTTTGATCTAGTTATTTTACTAGTAAATGTGTTATTTTGACTTGCAATCATTTTCAAGAAGGCATTAATGTTTTTATTTTTTTATTATCAAATAATGATAAACTTTTAATAAATTATCAATGTTCTACCCTAGTTGTGGTGATAGTTGGTAGATGGTAGCTGTAGTTCTGAAAAAAATATATTTGGTGCATTTTGATTGATGGATACTGTTCCATATAAACCGCCATGATAAATACAGGGACAGTGGCTCTATGGCCAATGACAACATTTTCATTGAATGTGATGGGTACATGTTTTTTAAAATGCTCATATAAAAAAGCCCACGCTTTCCTGACAAGCTGAGAGAGAGAATGCAATGAACTGAAATGTGACTACAGCAAATCCCCAGATTAAATCATGGAGCTAAATGATTAAAAGTGAAATTGAAATCAAGGACAAAGTCTGTCTGACAATCATCAGCTAAAATATCAATTGAGTCAACTGTGCTATTATGGACAATTTTAAACGATGTCTCCAATTGTAGTATGCCTGTTTATATATAGCGTTGCCCAAGGAAAGCACAGAAGTAGTTTTGTGAACTTAATATCTGGCAGATTGCCAAAACTCAGACTCAGCATTTACTCTTTTGTTGTCTAGGCTGAATCATCGCGACGAAGTGCAGAACATGCAATATTTTTTAAACAGCACAGCATCACGCCACGGATGTTTGAATGTTGTGTGATGATTGCGTAATGTTTATACTCACATACAAATATTTATATTATATTATATTCATTGCACAAAACGCCATGTCCAATTTATTTATAGACTACTATTACGATGTTCAAGGACAGTTCGTTCACAGCGTAAACGTGCTCGAAACATCACAAAATAACATATCAAATTACGTTTAATTAGTGTTTAGAGACAATAAAATTATAACAATAAATAAATCAAATGTACGTATTTTGACGCCGGTCATGTTGTAGTTTACAAATCTGAGGTCACGTGTAGATTCTGAATACTCACTGGCTTGTTGTGTGTTGACCTCCTCTTGCAAATGCATGATATATCCCTGTAGCTGCCGAAATCGCTAACATAGCAGAGAAAACCACGTAGTCAACAACGCCAAAGTCGTGTACTTCGGTCTGAGACATTTCGCTAGCTCAGAAAGACCGTCCTCTTCCTCTGAACACGTCGATCAATGTCACTGTGCAATGAATGTTACACGAGTACTCGTGTGTATCAGTAGTGCGACCCGGAAGTGAATTCTCATCAATGAAGCTGTTTGTATGCAGGTTGCATTGCATTGGACGGCACATTTGATGCAAGACATTGAGATAATCGGGGATGTATATGTTGTCAAGTGTTTGTGGCAAAGCTAATGCATATTACATTTGCCGTATAAATTTGTTATTGGTCTGAGCTTTATCTCAAACCGAGAGTTACGCTTTCTTGCAAGACAAAAAGCATATTATTAAGTATTTTAAAGAAGATAGTTTAGAATTATTAAAATAAAAAAGAAAAAAGTACATTCTTTTCCAAAATAAACGCGAATCTCCTGGCGAACATAGCGTTCAATTTCTGGGATGCAAATGTTGTACGCATTCGGAGGCTTTTTTAAAAATAAAACACATGTTTGAGCTTGGATTATTAACACTCACAAAACATAGAAGTAGTAGGAAACCTTGCCACCCAAGTAGCACTTTATGAAATTTTGTATCTCAACAAACTTCCCATTACTGTAATGTAGTAATATATAAATGATGAAAAAACCGTCCGTGGAACTTTAGACCAGCATAAATGGCCTGTTTTGCCACCCATCACCCGTCCTCATCAACCAATGTCTATATAACCAACTATTCGTCAAATTAAAATTTACAGTTTATTTGTACCAGCGATGTCAGCCGCCCAAAATACACCACAAATAAAATGATAATCGATGAAATGTTGGATTTTTATTTTAAATGTGTAAAAGAACAACGCTCACATTTTTTCAGTAGAATTGCTAGGCAAGTATTCGCGAGAGACTGAAAGAAATACAATTTATGTAAATGAATGCACATTCTCTAATCCTTCATTTTTGTTTCAACATAAAGATGCAGGTGCACTCAGTTCATGTGACCCTTTCCTGCGATATTTAAGATTTTTCATAACCTTTTTTTTTCACGGTTTTTCGAATCACAATCGTGGGGAAAGTGACGAAAAGTCCAAAATCTTGCGGAAAAAGGCAACAAATTACAAGGATGGGCACAAACAGAGCTATGGACTCACAGCTACTTAGCTGCATTGACGTCGGCTTGTCCATATACTGCCGAAAGACATCAGAATGGGCGTCAAATTTTCGTTTTCCCCGTCGTGTACTGAAATTGACATTCCCTTCAGATAGTACAATTTGAACTGTTTCGAATGATACCGAGTATGGTTTATATTAATTCGACATGTATTTTAGTACAGAAGAAGTTTTACGTAATTGCCTGAGTGTGTGTTATGGGCATGCATTGGTCTTTTTTGGTCTACTTTGATTAAAAGCCGACAGCCTGAGTACTTTTATGACGACAAATAGAATATATCAGCCGGGTTACTGGTGATTTGGCATGAAACTTCATCTTCATGTGTACTCAAGGAGTATGTGTCAAGCAACGCTGGATGGCGAACCCCGACAATGTTGAGCTGGCGTAGAATGGACATAAAGTTTACCAGCAGAATCAGGGCTGGCCGAGGATTTTTCAAAAGAGGGCTCCATGATCATTATTGACTGGACAGCCGTTTTAAAAATAACGACATACACTAGTCAACACAGTATCATCCAAATTGTTCATTGTCAAATTCATGATTAATGCCTGTAAAATTAACAAATCTGACATCCTTGTATATTTGTAGACAGTTAAACAACCTATGCCATTGTGAATGTATCGCAATGTTCCGTCTCTACAATTATCATTATGACCATTTTTATGCAGAGATACATCAATAGCGTGGTTGCATGTATGTTTGAGTCCTTACTAGTGAAACAAGCAACTCAGAGCAAATGCCCAGAATGCCACCACAGTTAATAAACGATTTTAGTTCATGTCATAAGATACAGTCGAAATCCTGAATAGTGTGGGAGAAGTATAATGCTTTCTATAGAAATATTTGTTGGATTATCGGACACAGAGTAAACTATTGTTTATAATTGATTGTCTCATAAACAATATTATTTAGTCTCATTGTTGTTTCAAAAACCTTGGTACCGAGTCAGTCGGGAGTAATGAACTTCAGACGCGACCAAACAAATAAATTACGAATATCAGCTAGCACGAAAAGAACTTCGAGCTTTTTCTTATTATTCATTACTGAACAAAATCGTGTTTACAATTAATAAATTAATGCACTCCAGCTTGTAACAATTAGATTTTGTATACATTTAAATGTCCTGTTTCATTGAAATTCAAGCGTGTTCGTCTGACATTATAAACTAATAAAAGCGTTTTTACAAACAAAAAATATATTGATCGATCATGATACAATTCAGTTTTTTAAAAGTCATGTGCACTAACTCTATCGATACTAACTTATACATAGTAACAATCACTACACATGTACAGCATGTTTCATTTTTTTATTGAAGGAGTAATGCTCTGATTGTAATTTGCATTACAATATGTGTTCTTACTTCAGAAACATACGTGATTTTGTTCATCTCAACATGGTGGCCAACTTCATCCCCGGTATTCGTTCTCATTGGATGTGTTCTATTATACAAATTGTGTACACTGTTTACAACGAGTTTATTCGTTGCATCTAGTACTGACGCGTTCTAACGGACAATGCAACAGTGTGTCCGGAGTGCGTTACTCAGTACCCGTGCTGTCATCGTCTTCCAATGGGGATTGCGGACGATCTCTTGATTCGTCAAAGAACGGCCAATCCACTTGATAACCAATGAACCACTCGTATACATCAACACGATAAGCACACTTCTCCAGTAGACCCGAGTCACCCGATTTTGCAAGCTCTAGTATCCTACTTCGGAGACTGAAACGATAATCACCATGATTTAATAGTGTACATTGAACATTCAGACACAGGCGTACATACAGACATCGATGTCAATAATTAATCGCCCCTAAGTAGGTACCCAACCTTATCTGACGTAAAATGACGAAATGCCCAATTACTGGTGTTCAATTGCCAACGCGGTAATTCAAAACAATTACATTCACGTTTTTAGTAAATTTAAAAAAAGAGGGACATTGATTTAACAAAATATCCGGGTCCACAATTATGTTTGACGCAGTACCATTTCCACAATGATTCAGTAACTCCCGCGTTCTGATTAAAATCCGATGTAGGTATATAGTGTTTTTTTTTTTCATATATTTTAAGTTGTTATTTTTTAATTTAATATATTATCATGATTTATATTTCAGTCAGTTTGACAGTGGTTGCCATGACATATACTGATAAAGGTTAATGACAAGACCAGATGGCGAGCTGGTCGAAATCAACCAAAAACATCTTATGACTCTGCAGTTTTTAAGATACAATACAGTAGCTGTAATCCTAAACCAATTTTGTTTGCGATTTTAACTAAGGTGGTATCTTTGTGGAATGTTAGTGCGAGACTATTACCCCATCATATTAGTTGGTGTTGACAATATATAGAAGTGTTTTTTTCTAGACAGCTTGACGAGTAATTAATTGATTATGATGTGTAAAACTTTCATGTGATTGGTTGTTTGTTTGAAGGCAAGGCCTTGGAGTCTCTTATACTGATTGTAATTGGTTAAGGAGTGACAAGAAATAAAGAGTGATTTAATGCTGTCTCGGGTGAAAACCAGGGACTTGGCAGAGAATCGTTTGGGAACATGAATGGAGCTCGTGTGTGTTTTTGTCAGCCTAGCGTGGAAACGACCGAATCCCGGTTACCTAAGTGAAAGGTTTTTAACCATCAAAAATACCTATCACGTCACTAAATATCATTTCAAAACAAAAATCTGGGCGCTTACGTACATACAATTCAATATTACAAAAAAAAAACGGTAAAAACAATAGAAAAAACCAGCAATACATTACATTACTGAACAATAGGGTTAGGATTCTGAAAAGAGTTCAACGTCCTTGAGTTACACAGTGTCAGTTACAGTGTCCAGCGAGCAGTACTCTAAGCAATACACAGATAGCTAAAGTCAAAGTCTATAAGCGTCTTCTCTTGTCGCGTTAGTCCGGGTCGTTCTTTATCATCTTCTTGTCTTTAATGTCGCCCAATTCTTAATTATACAGTTCTATACGATACTCGTCCTTCATAAGGGGTTCAGAGGTCTTCATCTCTTCAGCGTCGTACATCGGTGTCGTTCGGTAAAGCCGTTAGTCGTCAAGCGCAGTTTCCGAGTCGTCTCTGCCATCGAGCCAGTTAGTTCGGTTCGCAAGAAAGACACACCTTCGCCATTCACTTCTCTTCACAGGATGTCAATGTGTGTTAAACACCTGCCCGGGATCTCCACTCACGTATCAGGGGTAAAATCTCTTCTCTCGAGGTTCTCCAAACTTGTCAGGGGGGAAACTCG